AATGCTAAATGTTGAAGTTGAAGTTCACATATTGTATTCTAAACTTGTTTTCTTGAATTATGTGAAAAATACTTTAATATCACAACAATTCTCTCTGTCTCTCTTTCTCCATAACCGCTCTCCCTCCGCCCTCTTCTCTCTATCTTTCTCCTTCACCTAGAACAATAAAAAAACAATGAACTACTCACCTATTTGTGGTAAAAAAAATACAAACTCCTCTTACACGTAAAATATTCTTCTTCGTCACCCGAACTCTTCTCTTTCTCTCCTTCTAAGTTTTCTCAAGAAGTCACATCAATCACTCTTTGCTCACCATTGTTAGCTTCGCTTCGCCCTAGCCCGCTTGCTTGATTCGTTGTTTCCTTCATAGTTGTCCGCTGAAATTGATACTGGACCGACTCTGTTGAATCGGTCCATTCGGGTATTACATTTATATAGAAACATTTCAGTGGTAAATGTTGAAGTTGAAGTTCATTTATTGTATTCTAAACATGTTTATGCGTTTTGGAAGTAAAAACAACAAGGCAACAAGTAGAAAACTATAGGAATTTGAAGATAGAGATTGATTTTTTATTAATACTTAAACAATAATGAATGATACAATTAATCTACTATTTGAGAGGCAGATCAGCTTTCCCGTAAGCTCTAGACGCCGCTAGAAAACTTACAAAGAAAAAGATACAACATAAATGAATTGCATAATAATGAATTAACAACATAGTTAGGTCTTAATAGGCTCTTCTAATTTTCTCCTAAATCAACTTCCTTCCCTAAATGGCTCCTTCTCCAATTTAAATTCAATTTGGATCTCTTTCCCTAAATAATTCTCTATCAAATTTAATTAAAACCTTCGTAATTATCTCTCCCTTTATTCCTTCTTGCATATTAAATTACATTTTTCCTGAGTCCCATAAGGAGGGCCAAAACCTCCTCTGGTTGCACCTAGCACCTGGGTTGGTTTGGTTCTTGTTGAACCGAGCTGCTCCCCTCTTCGCCCCATCCTTCTACTGTAATCCTGAAGATGCACCTTGTCCTCAAGATGAAAGGATAAGAATTATTTTTTGATCATCTCTTATGGCTCCCATGTGGCTTCGTACTCTAACAAATCTTTCCACTTGATGAGTATCTCTTGTGCTCCTATCTCTCCTGGACGCACCCCTTCTACTTCCAGGGGTTCCAAAATGACTTCCATGTCTTCTATCAAAGTTGGGGGTAGTGAAGATGGTGTGTGATCTCCTATTGCCCTTCTTAGCTTTGAGACATGAAATATTGGGTGCAATGTTGAAGATGGTGGTAGCCTTAATTGATAGACCATTGCTCGAATGCATTCTAAAATCTCATAAGGACCAAAATATTGTGGGGACAATTTCTCATTCATCCTTCTGGCTAGTGTCTTCTGGTTGTAGGGTCTCAGTTTTTAAGTAAACCATGTCTCCTGGCTCAAAGTGCACTTCCCTCTTGTGCTCCTCAATCTTCCTTTTTTGATCAGATAATTCCCTGTCTCTCTCCTCTAAGTCTAATCTACACTGGATACCGATGTAGTGCTATTTTCATAATGAATCAAATGAAGTGGATCTCTCCTATAAAGGATTCTAAAAGGGGCAGTTGGCACTGTTGAATGGTACGAGGTGTTATATCAATATTCGGCCCAAGCGAACCACTTTGCCCAACTCTTTGGAGTATCCGATACAAAACATCTCAAATAGGTCTCTACACTTTTGTTGATCATATCTATCTGGCCATCTATCTGGGGATGAAATGCTCACCTTCTCTTTAGGATTGTCCCATGTAAACAAAACAACTCCTTTCAGAAGCGGCTAATAAACACTTTATCTTTATCTGATACATTGGATTTTGGGAGTCCATTCAAGCGCATCACTTCTCCTATGAAAACAACAGCCACATAGATCACAGTGTAAGGGTCTTCAGAGGGATGAAGTGTCTGTATTTTCTCAGACGATCCACTACTATTAGTATCACAGAAAATCCCTTCGAACGTGACAACCCCTCAATGAAATCCATCGTCACCTCCTCCCATACGCTCTCCAATAGAACTAGAGGCTAGAGTAACCTTATTGGTATCATGGCTAAGTACTCGTGCCTCTGACACATATCACATCTTGCTACCCAGTCCTCTATATCATAGCGTATCCCTACCCAGTATAATTATGCTGACAGCTAGCTATAAGTTTTATAAGCTCCTGAATGTCCTTCAACTGCCTGCCATGAAACTCCTGCAATAGCTTAGGGATGTATCTAGACTCCCTTGGTAAAACAAATCTCCCATGATGTGGCAGTTGGGCTCCTCTTAGTGTGTAACCGGGATGGCAGTCTAGGTTTTGCAGCAAGTCGGCTCTGATCTTCTTTAATCCCTTCGTCCTCTCCACTTTCATATTTCAAAGCTTCCTAATCTAGGACCATATGTACTGATAAAGCTGTTCATTGTGGCTCATCCATCTTCCATGATAGTGCATCTGTGGTATTATTCTCCGATCTTGGGCGATACCGAATCTCGAAGCCATATCCTAATAACTTGGACAACCACCTCTGATGCTCCTCAGTCACCATTCTTTGTTACAATAGAATCTTCACACTCCTCCGATCTGTCCCGAAGATAAAATATTGTCCCAATAAATAGGGTTGTTACTTTTGGATGGCTAAGACAATCGCCATCAACTTATGCTCGTATACAGATTTGAGCCTCACACTTGTAGCTATCACCTAACTGAAATAAGCAATGAGCCGATGATCCTGCATGAGCACTATCCCCAATCCGTATCTTGATGCATCTGTCTCCACCACAAATGGCTTGCTGAAGTCAGGAGGTGCTAACAATGGCACGTTGGTCATGGCTTTCTTCAACTGCTCAAAATCCTCTCTCAGCTTCCCCTCAATTGAAACTATCCTTTTTTAGCTGCTCAGTCAGTGACCATGTTACTGTGTCACACCCTCGCACAAACTTACGATAGTACCTAATGAAGCCTAAGAACCCTCTCTACTCCCTCAGGTTCTTAGGTTAAGGCCAATCCATTGGACTAGTATGTTGCTACCCCTGCTTTGCTCACCAAATATCTCAAGTACCCCACTTGTGTCTGTGCAAAAGTACATTTCTTTAGGTTGGCATATAATTGGTGCTCCCTCAATCTCTAGCAAGTCCTTAGGTGACCCGCATGCTCTGCCTCGATACGATTCTAGATCAAAATGTCATAAAAAATACCAAGATGAACTTTTTAAGTTAGGGTTGGAAAACCCGGTTCATGAGTGAATGAAAAGTGGCTAGGGTGTTGGTAAGGCCGAAAGACATCATCAAAAACTTGTAGTGACTCTTATGAGTCCTAAAAGCTGTCTTGTGCACACCCCCTGACTTCATTTTGATTGGGTGGTACCCTGACTTTAGGTCACTCTTTAAAAAAATGATCGCTCCAAACTGCTCATCCAACAACTCATTGATTACAGGGATAGAAAACTTGTCCAACATAATTTCTTTATTTATGGCTCTGTAATCCACGCAAAACCTCCAACTACCGTCTTTATTTTTTACCTGTAACATGGGGCTGGAAAAAGGGCTCACACTGGTCTTGATAAATCCTGCCTCAAGCATCTCTATGATGAGCTTTTCTATCTCATCCTTCTGAATCTTTGGGTACCGTTATGGTCTGATACTTATAGGAAATGTTCCATACTTCAAAGTAATGGTGTGCTCATACTTTTTGGGAGACAGTAGTTCGTTAGGTTGTTGAAAGTCCTCAAATAACTATTGTAAAAATTGTTGTACACAATCAGGGATCTCGACCGGCTTTGATTCTCAGACCTCCTCCAGGCTCTGTAGCTATCTAGTAGTCCAACCCTGCTCCATGTATCACCTTGACCATGATTTTGAGTGAAATCATGATTATGCACAGGCTGTCATCTCCTCGCAGCACCACTTTATTATTATGTTAGGTGAAACATATTTTTAAGTTTGATTGCATGTCAAAATTCTTAAAATCTTGCTAAATCAGTTGTCCTAAAAAATGAACATAGAAGGCACATTTAAACTAAACCTTGTGGCATGCATTGTTTCTCTATAATCTCACCCTAACTATTATCTACCGTATCTTCATCATTTGATTTGTAAGTTGTAACCATCCATCACTTCATTATGTCCTTGTCTTCTTTCGCAATATTTTCCACGCAAAAAGTTGAAATTATTGCCCATATATTTCTCGAACTTGTTTCCTGGTGTGCATTTTTATTTACCCAACTCTTGATTCTCTTTTCACATCATCACTCATATAAAATTATCATAGTAAAAGCCTAGCTCATCTTTCAGATGTGAAGTATTACCAATATTCTGTCCTTTTTAAGGCAAGACTTACTGCATCGTGTTGTACCTCAAGGCAAGGTGCTCATCTTGGCAATGCATTAGTGATGGTAGCAGTCTAGGAGGCGTGCAAGGTGCTTTGGCCTCCCCCTTTTCCGCCTAGGCCCTTATGCCAGCATCGGGCTCCACCTTTAGTCAGACTTCCATATATTTTTTGTTGGGAGAGCCGGGGAGTAATCTGCATTTTCACTAGTATTGATCAAGATACAATCCTATAATTAATTTGGATTTCTTGTCCCACCGCCTTCTTTTAGCCAGGGATGTAAAGTGGGGAGGGAGGAGGTGGGTGTTGAATTGCACGGGTTATCTAGCTTGGGGTACTTGCCTAATATTTTGCCATTGTTGTTAGAGATGGATAAAAGACGGGGAAAGGTAAAAGAACTATAGTAGACATTTTATCATTTTGGAGTAGTATATGTCTAAGATGAGTTTTATAAGGAATTTTTTGTTCCCTCTTTCATTTGTCAAAAACATTCTATTATCACTCAAGAAGGCAAATATTGCAAGCATAGCTGTAATCAAGGAATTGTGGGTTCATGTGAGAAACATTTCCTTTTGTAAATTATGCCTTTTTAGGTTAATGAATGCTTTGCTTTCTGATGTTAAACCTGATCATGCTTCCATGGTTTGGTTGCAGTGCCCCTGCTGCACCTAAAAGGCGAGGTGGCCCAGGTGGTTTGAGCAAAGTTTGTGGAGTTACACCTGAGCTGCAGACCATTGTTGGTGAACCAACCATGGCAAGGACTGAGGTTCTTTATTTGACTAACCCATTAGATTTCTTTAAATCTTTGAAGCAAGATTCCATGGCAATGCATGCTTTGTTTTCTGGGACAAACCAAAATTTCTATTGTACTGTTATATTTTATGTCAGATTGTGAAGCAATTGTGGGCTTACATCCGAAGAAATAATCTGCAAGATCCTAATAATAAGAGGAAGATCATATGTAATGATGAATTACGTCTAGTTTTTGAAACAGATTCCACTGACATGTTCAAGATGAATAAACTATTGGCTAAACATATAATTCCACTTGAACATACAAGTTAGTAACTCTCAATTTTTGTTTACTAAACCAATCCATTTAATTCGTGATCACAATCTAATTCTTGGATTTTTACAGAAGAACCTGGTTCAGACTCTAAAAGACAAAAGAAAAGTGATAGGGAAGTGGGTGTTGAACCAGAATCTCAAGGTGGACAGTATCTTCTGGTTATTTCTGATGGGCTAGCTGAATTTCTTGGAACAGGTGAAAGGGAGATACTTCAGTCTGAGGCATTGAAGCGTGTCTGGGATTACATAGAGGCTAACCACCTAGAGGTTATTATGCCCTTTGTTTGTACTATTCTGATTAGGGTAAAGCTCTTTAAGCAGTATTGAAATTAGTTATTCATGTAACTTGATAACTTGCAACCATGTCTTAAATTCAAATTCTAGTTCCGATTTGTTACTCCACCTTCAGGTTTCTTGATTGCACTCTGACATCAGATATGTGATAGGAAACACTTATAGATCTCAAGTATTTCCTATCAATCTTTGGAAAACAGCGAGAATTCTTCACAAAAGTCCGCACAAAACCACAAAAACAGTAGATAATTTATATTATTTGATGAAAGGAAAATAGAAAATAGCAAGATACAATTGATCCTCAATTAGAGAGGAGGATCGATCTCTCCCAAATCTCTAGACGCCGCTAGAGCCCAAAGAAAACCTAAATCTAAAGAGATATCAAATTTCAGCCAAATTTCAGATGCCCTAACCCTAGCAAAACCCACTATTTAATGCATACAAATCAAAAGGAAATCCCTAAACAGTCCCTTCATTCAAATTTCCCTCTCAAAACCCTCAAAAAATTCCTAAAAAACTCCGCTTGGGCGGTCGGGCCGCCCGATCTCCGCAGGAGGCAGAGATCCCGCGTCTGTTCATGAAATGCCGGTCCCTTGCGGACCGGCTAGACTGTATACTCCCCTCCCAAAGATCCACCTTGTCCGCAAGGTGGAAAGATGACACCCTCCATTCCTTCTTCATCACAAACGGTAAGAACCTGAATAGTTCGGTTCTTACACCTGTGCCCCGGTGTATACCTCTCGTCACATTGAAAACAAAGCCCCTTTGCCCTCTTCTCCTGTAATTATGTCTCTGTGAGCTTCTTGAAGTTGTCCCCAGGTCTTCCTCATGCAGTCTTTTCCTTCGAAGTCCCTCGAAGAGTATCCTGTGTTAGCTCCTTGGATTTCAATAAAGTAGTGGTCATCTTGTACGAACCTCCTGAGCTACCACCTCCCGTCTCTCCTTCCAAGTGCTTCTGATCTTCTACTAATTGAGTTAGCTCCATAGCCTCTCCCAAGTCACGAGGCCTCATTACTCTAACTGCTGCTCGGATCTCTGGTGTCAATCCTTTCATGAAGTTTCCCTCTAGCACAGTCTCAGAAAGGCGGTCCAATCGGCTAGCATGGTATTCGAATATCTCCCGGTACTCCGTCACTGAGCCCTTCCGTGTCAAGGCAAAGAACTGCTCGTAGAAGTCTCCTCCCTTGCCAGTTCGGAAACGTTCTACCAAACAATCCTTGAACTCTCTCCAACTTCGTATGGGTCGTCGTATGTCTCTCCACTGATACCAAGACAAAGCCTTCCCTTCTAAACATAGGCCCACCGCCGTCAATCTCTCCTCTGTCAGCCTATTGACGGCGAAATATCTTTTTACCTTGTAGATCTACCCGTGTGCATCTTCCCCCTCAAAGATTGACATCTTCAGTTTCCTCACCCTCGGGTCACATCTGTTTCCCCTAAATCCTCCATAACCTCCCATTCCTCGAAGCGGAGGTGCTCCCCAATTGTCACTATCTTCCCTCCGGCGATCATACCCAACCTTCATCAAAATCCCATCTTCTTCTTTCAAAATCAGCACCCCATCAATCAAAATCATCTCCTCACCTTACAAATTCAGCACCCCTTCTTGTGTAGCCAATGCTCATCTCCTCCCTAGAAAGTGGTTCTAGAGGAGGCATTCCGTCTTTCTCCCTCCAGGATCTCCACTTCTGGCTTTTCCCTTCCCCTAGACGTGTTAGGGTTCCCATCTCTTCCATTGCCGCTGGTAGTTTCCTTTGCTTCGGATGTCACCGGTTTGGTTTTGACTTCAAGCAATTTCTTCAACAAGTCTTCCACCACTGCGAACTTTTCCTCCATCTTTTCATTGACGGATTCAATCTGACTTTGAAAATAAGTCATCTTTTCCTCAAAATTTGCTTTGAATTGACCAAGTTCTCCCTCCAAAATTTCAACTTCTCTTCCGGCCGTTGTTTCCCCTTCGATCGACGTGCTCTGATAGCAATTTGATAGGAAACACTTATAAATCTCAAGTATTTCCTATCAATCTTTGGAAAACAGCGATAATTCATCACAAAAGTCTGCACAAAACCACGAAAATAGTAGATAATTTGTGTTATTTGATGAAAGGAAAACAGAAAATAGCAAGATACAATTGATCCTTAATTCGAGAGGAGGATCGATCTCTCCCAAATCTCTAGATGCCACTAGAGCCCGAAGAAAACCTAAATCTAAGAGATCTCAAATTTCAGCCAAATTCCAGATGCCCTAACCCTAGCAAAGCCCACTATTTAATGCATACAAATCAAAAGGAAATCCCTAAACAGTCCCTACATTCAAATTTCCCTCTCAAAACCCTAAACGGGCCGCCCGATCTCCGCAGGAGGCGGAGATCCCGCATCTGTTCGCGAAATGCCGGTCCCGTGCGGACCGGCTAGACCGGTCCAGTGGACCGGTCTAACAATATGTTTATGCTGTGATATGCTTTTACCTTTTCATATGGTGTTCTAAATTCGTTGACTTTTTTTTATAGTGCTTTTATGCCTTTAAGTCTTCTAGCCACAACCAAGCCCCATTCCTCTTTACAAGTAATCTAATTATATTGATTAGTGTCTATGAAATTCGGTAACTATTTTCTTTCTGTAGTAATTCGATGAATCAAATTGGCTTGAGATTGTCTTCAGTACTCATCTTTGAGTGTTTCTCCAAGTTTTACTTATGGTTTCTTACATCTATAGTTACTGCAGCAGTTTTTCTCTTTTTTCCACACCACATGTACATTGCTATCTCAGAGCTACATTAGCATCGATTATTTTTCCAGCACATAGTACCTACGAAGTAAATTATATTGGCCAATTATATTGACCAATTACAAATTTGGCTTTTCCTTTTACATGTTGTTGCAGTTGTCTTGGATCAAAGGGCGAAACTTATCTTTTGAAGAAAATTAATAAGCTTTGTAGATATGCTAGATTCTCTGTTAAAACCTCTCTGCTATATGATCTTTCAAGAGCAATAAACTTAGCGCTAAACTTTCTATCCTCCCTCCCTTCTATCTTTCCCCCAAGCAGCTAATATTGGTTGACGTATTGCTGAAAAGTTTGAACATTTTATCTTGTGAGCAATCCTAGCTCTATTCCTTTATATTGTATCCCTTTGCCTGTAAATGGTTATTGTGATATGCCAAAACCAGCATACAAAAGCAAGGCAGTAGCTATCACTATCGCTAATGTTGTTTTTAACAATTTCTCAGCCTCTAGTAACAGTTCTGTTTTTTGAAACTCATTCAGGACCACAGGAATAGCATGATAATGTGTGACACAAAGCTTCAGCGACTCTTTGCATGCGAAAGCATATCTGCTTCAGGGGTTTCCAAGATGTTGGCACACCACTTGTTCAAACAATCCTAACAGAGATGATATTAACTGGTTAGCTGATATTAGCTATCTTTTTATATTCTTCTGTGTTTTATCGTTTAAAATTGGTGAATCAGGCTACTTGTTTATATAATCTGTGTCTTATGCTCTCTCTTTTGGTGTCTTTAGGAGTTTTTCATAGTAACTGTTGCTGTAGTCGAACATGCAAGAAATCCATCTATATAATCTTTTCAGTTTTAACAGAAAAAAAGAACAGAGGCATCTTCAGGATCTAACTTGTTTGTATTTTCTCATGCTATGCGACTACACACTTTGCATCATGTTTTTCTAAATGTTAGGATCTTGTAATCCCTATCTGATCAAACATAAACTTTGACACAAAGTGTTGTTATTTTTGTTTCTCAAACAAGATTGGATCGGGTCCACTTTGAGTTTATTTAAGTGAACATTAGCCTAAATTAATTTGTCTGATCTTCAAATGAACTTTCTAACATCAAGCAAAATCCCCGGATGCACGAATCTATCAAATCAATATGAATTAGCCTCATATGGATTGGACTGTCTTCTTCCTCAATGCTAGCAAAAGTCAATTTTGAAAACCTTTTAAGCGAAGGGGCATCACATTCCTTTCCCTTGGTTATGGGCCATTGAACTGCCTTCTTGGCACCAAATGCTAGTAAGGATTGCACTCGCAAGGAGGTTGTTGGTGCGGGAGGCCTCATTAGGTCCAAGCAATCCTAGTTAATCTAGAACTTCTTCAAATTCTGGCCCCTTACTCTTCGCCTCTTTACAGGATGTGGTCTTCAAACTTCCCTTTCGGGAAGGAACAATTCCCTAGAAATTTTTGCTTTGATACATTTTGATAGATATGAATGAATCTGCAACGGAATTTTTTGGAATTAATTCTCGGTGATCTGTTTTATGAAACTTTGCTTTGTTAGCACCATTGTGATCATGTTGTCATCACAACAAAAAATCCATTATTATTAGATTGTTACTTAAAGATTTTGTCAATGCCAAACGCTACATGTTGCTCAAGATGGCCTAGTTTAGGTGCATTATTGAGGAAGGTTACGGACAAGATTGTCCAATTTTGAGTTTTTTTATTGTCTTAAACTCAGAACTCCCTCAATAATCTCTTTAATTTTAATTAACTCAAAATAAAAATTAATTTATTTCAGCTTGATGATAACTCCCTCAAATTGAATTTAATAGAACTATAAATTGTGAGCTCCGAAAATTATGCGCCTCGATCTCTCCATGCTTCATGAGAGTTTTAATCCAGTCAAATTTTTAGAAGGCTGATTGGATTGAAGATAAAATAAGAAATCTATGGTTTCCAACTATATTGCACTGATACGGATACGGCGACACGAATACAACACGATACGGATATGGGACACGTCAATTCTTAAAAATGCCGGATACGGGTACGGCGCGGACATGGCATCATAATTTATAAATCATACATAAAAATTAAGAAATCAATCAAAGCATAATATTTGAAATTACAAAAAAAAAATGACAACAACATCATTTGTAGCCTTGTAGCTTATAATATCAAAATATTAAGTAAGCATTAAATGTCTAGTACAACAACAAAAGCATAAACATAAATTGTCTAGCACAAAGTTTCAACTATTCAATAGAAGGAATGATATGATTAGCTTCTTTATTGTTTATTCTTTGAACTTCTATATCATATTCAATAAATATCATAGCTTTTAATTCAGGCTCATCAAGTGAAAGATTAGTAATTTATAATATTCTTATATCATCAAGAGACTCAAATCCATCTCGGAAATGAGAGAATTTTGCTCGCAGCCGCGGAAGTAAATACGACGCATTTTTTTTTTCGGATTTCTTTTTGTTTTTCAACGGACACGTTTATCGGATACGCGTGTCCTTTTGAAATTAAATAGTATTTTAATTAGATACGTCTTTGGCATATCCGACATGTATCGGTGGAGTATCGGAGGCGTATCCGTGTATCAGTGTATTGGATACAACACACCTTCATAAATAGGTGTATCGGTTCAACGTAGGTTTCCAAAAATTCGCGTCACTACCTCTTTGTGTATAGGGTGAGTTTTTGTAACATCCCAAACTCTTAGCCATCGAGATATTGTTTACTTTGGCCAAGAGGCCTCATGTTTTTGTCCTGTTGGTATAAATTCCTAGGAGATCCATCTTATGAGTGCTCTTATATGAACACGCTTAACTTTGGAGTTTCTGATAAAATTTCAACAATTGCACCAAAATATTTCTCGATATTTAAGAGTTTAGCTTTATTTTCTTAAGGGGTTTGGCAATTTTAATGGATTATGTTTCAGGTTAAATTTCATGAAGATATATTAGTTTAAAATAAGATATTATCCATAAATTTCACACTTATTTTGTGAGGACTATAATGTAATACCCCATAATACCCCTTATCAGTAAGAGTGTCACACAATTAAAAAATAACATTTTTCAACATAAACATAAAATACTTTTCATCATTTGAATATTTACATAATATATCTAACAACATTTCTTTTACTACATAAATTGAAGCATCCAATAAATCTAAAATTCCAACATAAAGATTTATAGAGCCACTTAAAAATTTAAAAGAGTACACCACTGAACTGTCTACATATCTCAGTTGTAGACTTACAAACATAGCTAAACACTAGCATATAGAATGAAATAACTTGCAACTTATTATGCATTAACCTTTTCTTTTTCTTTTCCTGTAACAACAATCAGTATGAAAAGAACTGGTGAGCTATGAGGCTCAATAAGTTTTGCAAATTAAATAGCAATTAAATTGCATGATTAAATTCACAACATTGAAATCATAATAAAATAAACTTGACATTATTTATGAAATATCATAAAATTACATTTTACATTAACCTTTATTTCCTCTTAAGTCTATATTGAATATCAATTTTTAATCTTTAAAAAATTTGACTACACTTTTATAAAAATATTCAATAGAGCCCGGTAAATTTGACATTATCACCATTGAACTACATAGATGTCCTTTTTGTTTTTTTAGTGGACCCATTTTCCCCATTTGCTATGAAGGTAACATATCTCTGGGGTCTTTTTTGCCTCACTTACAATGGAGTGTCATACATTGGGAACATTTTGCCCAATCTGCAAATATAAGTTGTACATCATTTTATAGCCAATCTTTTCTAATTTTTGATATTCAATATATTTCATAACATAGTAATTCATACTTGAGTCGTCATGTACAAAATTCCATAAGAATCTATCGCTTACTAAACTCACATATCAGGATTTGTTGGCAACATTAAATTAATGAGCTGTTTTCAAATTATTATCAGAAATCTTATTTTAAACTTCAATGATACATATATGCAAATGATTGTTCATACATGAGAATTTGGAGTATGCTCAATTTCATTACTCTAAACAAACATGCTTTATCTTATTTCCACTTGCAAGTCTGCATATGGATGCGTAGTTGCTTGTAAATGCATACAAAGCTGTGTGTTCATATTCCATAATTGGAATTATCTTAACACAATTAACTTTCTAAATGAATCATCTGATATTGTATGCATCAATAAATTTAATATTTACTTTTGCAATTTATAATTACCTAACTTACCTCTTTGATGAACTGCTTCTTCCAATTCTACACCACGCAACCTTTTTCTTTGATAAACTATTCCAAAACCTTCTTTCTGCATATATCTAATGAATCCTAAAATTATGATTGGTATATACTTCTTTAGAAATTTTCCTTACCGATTAAAATTCTTTAAAATAATTAAAGAACTAAATTACTTACCTCAATTCGTTCTTTCCCTTGATTTCCTCTTCTTTTATTTTAATAGAAATTCTTTAGTGCAAGTCCACTCTCTCCGCTCTCAAATCTTGCTATGGAAATCAACATACTTGAATAATATATCCAAACAATTCCTTGCTAATTATGTTGCAATTAAACATAATTTTACTTACCCAAATACGTACTATTATATGATCTTCAGTTTGCATTCAGCATTCCACCTTTTATTTCACTTTTCTTCTTGTTTTTCTCTAAACTTTCCTTTGCTTCTTACTCTTCCAAACCCTGTCAGTCACTGCTCTCACTCGGCTACCAAACTCTCAAAGAAATTTAACTGTGCCGAAGACTCTACAGTGCCGCGGGCACTGTACCGAACTATGCTATAGTAGATTCTATGAATTCCTTTACAACCCTGAGGAATTGTACCGAAATCTGCTACAGTGATTTTTGGGCACTGTGCTGAACTCTTGCCTGCGGCATTTCTGGCTTGCGTGAAATAGAGGACATGGGCCCACTGCATAACTGCCAATGTACCAAACGAAGCATCTATTCAGAATAAAATTACAACTAATTATCTATTTGACTTAAATTAATAAATCATTTTATCTGTTAGTATTAATGTAACAGACATTTAGTATTAAGCTGATCTATTTAATATTAGGCCTCGTTTGGTTTCCACCCTCCTTTTCTATAAGTTGGTAAAAAACAGTTATTGAAGAAACCGAGTTTTAAAGAAATTTATTTTAAAAAACTGAAAGTTGTTTGGTTGATTCGCTGAATCGCAATTCTCCGCTCCAATGTACTAATGACAAAAGACAAAATTACCCTCTTATTTAAATTAAGTATATCCGGACTTTAACGAGGCCACTTCTCGAGTCCAAACTCCAATAAACCTTCCGCATCACTAATCTCTGAGGTCTTCCGCAAACAATAGGCGACTGCAGTATTTCCGTCTCTAGGTCGATATTTCACTTTGAATTTGCAGCCATGATTCATCCATGTTGACGTAATTCATTTTTCTCTTCTCCCTATTTCGAGATTCATCCAGTTCCCCGGAAAACATAAATTCAACACCACAAAATATGCATCATACAAAAATTTGAAAGCAAATAGAATAATACTTACCTTCCTCTGTTGCACGAATCATCACTAGCTCTGTAACTCCCAATTGCACACTCTGCTATCTGACCGGTAGAAGCTTTTAAGAGCAGTTGTGAGATGTTTAAGAGCAGGTAATTGTAGA